AGAAACCAATTCAAAATAGGGGTTTCTAATGATATAATTAAGAGTTACCAGTTAATCTACCACTAAATCCCAGGAGGACCCTTCTCGAAGTCAAGAATCTGAGTGTTCGGGAATGAGACCGTTAACAGTGCCTTTATGCTTTCCGGTGTAAGATGGCTGCGTAATTTCGGCTTGAATACCAGTAACTTAGGCGATAATCTAATTTCAGGCGGAAGATTATTCCAAAGGAAGGCATATTTGGAAGCAAAGAAGAGGGAGCGCTTAGATGTAGTACAAAGAGGCGGCGGAATCACCATGCAGGAGTTGCGCGTGGCATAAGACCGATCTCTCGGAGTGAGAGTGTCAATGAGCGGAAGACTGGAGCTAGAGTTGATGCGAGAAAGGAAGCAAAGGCCGCTTCGAGTCTTCTAACCCACAAAAACTTAATGTTCGCCAACTGACATCTGTGGGGGCAAGCCAGCCCTCTCAAGACATAATCGTTCGCGACGTTCGAACCGACACAATTCCCCATTAACTGGGCGTTTTATCGAATATTTTGGAGAATTTGCACGTTTTTAATGACTTACATCACTGTGGTTCTGTCTATGCGTATATAATGCAGGATATGGGAACGTCACTACGGTAGGAAAGCGTATTCCGAGCGCAAACTTACCTATCGGCTTAGGTCTTTTCATCATTTCCCGTTCTATTTTGTGGTTATATTGCGCATGTGCATGGCCCCTCCACGCCAGTGTGCTTTCGATCGATCTGCAGGTGTTATCCGGCTAACTCAAGAGTTTGATTTTCTGACTACAAGGTTTGTGCAGCTTATTTTAACTTAATCGAGCTCGACTTATTAATTCTGGCCTAAAGGTTACCTAAATGCTAATGCTAATTCCAATCTGCTGCGCGCACACGTCCAGTCCCAAGGGTACATCTTCCGCATGCAAATTTGTTTTACTGCGCTTCTACCGCGCGCACTCACAAAAATATTCATAAATAATCTGCCTTTATGTAAATTCAAGCTCTTCTGTAGACTTCATGGCAATACTCTACTGTCGTTAGCCCTTTCTGGTTTACTGCTCTTTTTCCTAATCTCTACTACCAGGCTTTCGATTTTCGTTATGGTCATGTTCTAGTGAAGCTGATGTTAGCCTTGGTTTTAACGGTAACATTAATCTCTTACCCCGACCTTCATCCTAATCCTTACCGTAACCTAAATAAAATCCCAACTGTAGATCAAATCGATAGTCCTATGGCCATGAGTTAAGTAGCAGTGACAAAAGAACGTTAGACAGGCCATAGGGGTAGTGACAGTGGTCCATTGCTAACCAATTTATGGACATTGTGATCGTGTATTTGATGAATTCATCGGATGTTTTGTGGAGTGCTCTTTTCGCATCTAGTTACTCGGGAGCGTGATCTTTTTATTATTTTGGACTTCGGACCTGCAGATGTGCTTCGCAACCTATTTACGATCATACGCATAGAATAAAAGCAATAAATAAAAATAAAAGACTAGTGAATGAACCAAAAGCTGTCCGTCAAAGAGGCCAGTTTATTTTGCATAAGTTTTAACTTAACTTGTAAAAGCGGACATCGCCAGAGACGTCTGAATAATTTAAACTTAAGAGCATCTGCCCAAAATCCATTCACAAATTATTGTGTCTGCTCAGCATTGACGCTGAGAGAAGTCTTAGGTTCAACCTCGAATCCCTGCTCTTCGTTTTCACTCTCCGCCATCGCTGCCGTATCTCGGGCAATCTCCGCTTGCACATCTATGCCGCGACTTTGGAGCATAGAAACAAGGGTCCAACAAAGTTTTTTTCTTCGTCTTTTTCGTCGTTCCTCACAGGAACCGTGATATCTGCATTCCTTGCCACACCTGGAATGACTCCCATAACAGTCTCTTCTACTGCCATGGGCTGGATGCTGATTCGGTCCCTGAACAAGGACTTTTGTGATGTAGTTTCTAGGGTCTTCACCAGTATAAATGGGTTGACGTTTGCTGCAGTGGCATGCAAACGGTCTCACGTTGCCACTACTACAACGGCTACCCGACCTACTTCGACTTCTACTTCCTTGACACGACCTGTTTCCGGAATCCGCTTGCTGCGTGAGGAGCATCTCCAGCATCTGAACTGCCCTCAGCTTTCGCAAGAGTTCTGGGTCGAAGTCCTCATCCAACTCATCTAAGGCCGCTCGCATGCGCCGAAATTCACGCAGAATACGTATCGTCCATCGCATTACGCTTTGCATCTCGTCCTGCTTACGTCTAAGCATCTTCTTACCACTTTCCGAAGCCAAATAACGCTCAATCTTGGCCCGCAGAGCTGCTTCTTGGGCTTTCTTTTGCTGTTCCAGCTGCCAGCGACGATACTCCTCCTCATAATTTGCGTTAGCTTGTTCAATCTTGGCAGCTGACTGGGCGGAAATCAGGTCTGTCTTGTTCGGTAGGTCTGGAGAACCGGTCAGCCGAGAAAACATAGAAGAAAACCGGTGACCTAAATTTGAAAGCCCAGTCTTTTTGCTATTTGGAGGAGGAGGAGTCCATCTGGGCGTCGGTGGGACAGGAGATTCGCTCTTTTTAGGTTTTGTTTCCTTCGGACTCCCTGCCTGCGGGTGAGCAGAGGCGGAGGAGGTGGAGGTGAGGGATGGAGTCTTTTTGCTTGAATAATTTGACTTAGGCTTTGGTTGCGTCAGAGTCCCACTTATCTTTCTGGAACTGCGATTGCTGAGCTGTAGCGGAGGAGTTGAAACGTACGACGGGGTCGACATTGGAACATCTGGCTTTTTTGGTGGTTGTGATGGTCTTGGGGTTGTTATCTGTTGCTGTCTGACCGATGAGCTCTTCCGGCTCACTGTTGCAGGGGACGATGTATTTACTGAAGATTTATTATTCAACGCCGCCGAGTTTTTCGTGCCATATGTCTGTACGTCTGCTGATGCTACTGTAGACATCTCCGGTGCCCGGGGTTGTTCGGAAAGCCTTGGTAGTTTTGCTTGTGTAGGATGTTCAGATTCGCTTTTCGACTGATTCTGTGCACTTTCCTGAAACGGTGGTTGTGACTGTGACAATAAGGGAGACGATTGCACGAGTTCCCCTACCGCTGTTTCCGTTTCCGTTCCAGAATCAGACACAGTGCCTTGTGCAGACAATGATGGACGGTTCAGTGGGTGCGATAATTTGGCTATTTCCTGTACAATTGTCTCCGTTCCCGGTGATGATTCGAATGATGAAATCGCAGCTCCCGAGTACGCACTAGGCAAAGGAGCTGGAGGGACAACAAGAACCTCCGGAACGTTTACTTTTTTTATCCTTTTTTGCTTCCTCTCGGGTGGCTTCTGTTTTGTTTTCTGATAACCGTAGCCTGCTGGGGCCCTGTAGAGTTTCTGGGCAGCTTCGTCCTCAAAAGACATCCTTCCTTCGCCAAACAATGCACGGTGGGGACACTTCAGTCATGCCGATAGAGCGTTAGAGACGGCTACTTCTGCCCTAAGAAGACAGCCTGTTTGCCATTGATTTTACCATCACGTGACTTACTGGGACTTTGAACTTACGCTTCAGCCGACAAGAAAACGACTGTGGCGAAGTGGTAAATTAGTCAAGAGCTGTGTTCATCCGGATATTTTTACTAGGAATACGTGAAACTACTACGTGCACTCCAAATCGGCCGATATATTTATCCGGTTGTCCACAGCAAGAGCCAGCCGTCCGACGAAATCTAAGGCGAAGATTGAAAACAAAAGGTCAAAAAATTGCCACTTGGCAGATGTATTTTTTAAAGGAGGATAAATTATTAGACCAAAAAGGAGACAATGTAACCAAGAAATTTATATGAATAATCTGGCTCAGAACAAAAATGCGCGATGTTTACATACTGAAGTACATTTTTTCGTGAAAACAGCCTTGGGACTAACAGACTTCAACATGTCCACTCAAGATGAGCTTGCTCATATTCAACAATACTACTCTGAAATCGTGCACTGTTTGTCCTCCTTGTTTAATTTTAAACTCCAATGTCTTCAGAATCATATGAAATCAACAATACTTTCGGGTTCATTTAGTTAAGGCCAATTCATGCATCATTGCCTTTTAAATACCAGTAAATAGCCTTGGTTTTAATGAATAAATTTCTCAGGATATATAATATCTAGATTCACAGGGTATCATGGACGGGGGTCCAGGTCGTATTTGTACCGTCGCAGCAGATTAGGCGATGAGGTCGAATAGATGGTGCACAACACAACACTGACAAGTATAGCCAGCCCTACATTTAACACCGGCAATAATAACGTCTTAAAGTGTGGAGCAGCATATCGACAATCCACAATGAACGTTCAAATAGACCTAGCGGCTGTGTCTGCTTTTTCCCGTTCTGGTACCCAGCCCTAAGATTTGACTAAACAAAGTAATGATAGGCGCCACAGCCACACCCAGGAAACCGTCCTTAGCCAGCCAGCTTAAGTGCCTGAGGATGTTTGGCGTATTTGTTTTCACATCATGTAATCTCTGGAGTATTAGCCAAACTGTCTCCCCTCCCGAATGAAAGATCCTACGAAAAGGGTGATGCGCAGTCCCGTAGGTGACCCAGGCTAATTCAGATCGTCTTCCGCCAAACACACGTCCCAGAAGTGGGAGACTGGAGGAGATAGTACGTTTGATAAGGAAATGAGGCTTTTGCTCTTGAGCTCCATATTCACATCCAAAAACAACAAAAGAATCAATTGTTAAATCGGTGGTCCTGGGAAGTCAAAAGTTATACACATGTGTGATTCAGGTGCAAGCTGTCACCACCGACACACTCGGGATCGTATGTACGGTATTATTTAATTTAATTTCAAAAAAATTAATTAAATGCCGGTTTACAGGCATTGTCAAGGGAAGCGATTAAACACAAATCCAACCAGCAGTGAAAAACCTCCTGAGGTAAAGAAATAAAAATATAGTTGATGGTGGTTTTTATGGTTTGGAGGGTTCAGGAGAAAAAAAACTGCTGGCGGTAGATTTTCGACCGTCAAGAAGGGGGGGAGGGGGTTTCACGGTATCGGAGATTATCGAACGTCAATTCCTTTCATGAAGTTGGGGATAGTTAAAGAAGAGGCGTTGAGGAACAACTGGTGAGACCGGCCACAGTGTACAGAGACCACAAACGCCATCGCTACGGTAGAGTCGATCATAGGATTCAGAACCCAAAATTTGAGGAAGTTTTTCTGAATGCAAAAATCGAGTAATAGTTCTCTTAAATAAAAGATAATTTTGCAGAGTTTTCACACTCATTGGTAGTTTCTTCCAAATAGCAATAGCGTTTACAGAATATAACCGACGATATTTAACAGCACGTGCCAGAGGCAGAAATAAGAAGACCTCACGGTGACTGTTACGTCGTGGGTGGATATGATGTCTTAAAGAAGTGAGTGGGTTTAAATAGCAAAAAGAGTCCCTTTTGTAATCTACGGAATCATAAAGGATCAAGGCCCGTATGCCGGTAACGTTCTTGGTAAGACAAATGTCGGTGCTCCAGGGTTAAAATTCTCTTGGTAAAAAAGTGTTGAACGGATTCTATTTTCTTCCGCTCAGTAGCACGCATGAGGCTAAATAAAAACGGACAGTATTCCAGGCCAGGTCTAACGTACATGTTGAAAAGGCGCATTCTGATGTCCCTAGTTTTAAAGTTTCGGAGGATAAACCCGGTCGTTCTGCGTGCTTTGGAGACTATCAAGGCACAGTGCTCCGAGAGATTGAGACTCTTGGAGTATGATATGCCCAGATCCTTGATAACCCTGGGCACATTTATGGCGTGACCTTCAATACTTAGTTGAGGTTGGTGGTCGTCGCCAACCACCATGACTAAGCACTTATGCCAAGAAAGAGAAAGGCGCCATGTGCGGCACCACTGGGCGAATGCCTGTAGATCGCTCTTTAGGAGCTCAAGCAGGATGTCACGATCTGCCGGCTTATATCGATATGCAACTTTAAGATCATCGGCATGCATGAAAGGCTTACCATTCTGAAATATCGGCAAACGAGCGTCAGACATTTATTTAAAGGACCCAACCGTTTCGGAAAGAACCACCGCGTCAGGGTATCCGTTATTAGCGACAATGATCCTCTGCAAGAAAGTCTTCTGTTGTACGATTATATGATCCAGCTTCCTCTGCAGTTGAAAGGGATGACCACGCAGGTGGTCCGTCCCAGCTAATTCAGAAAAGTCGTCAAAGTCTACGGCAAACTCACGGTCTCTGACCACGCAGCGTGTTTGAATGACGACACCGCGGAGTTGTCTGTAACGGTGGAGAAACAGATTTAGTTCAGCCAATCTGGATTCATAAGGCAGACGGCGATGATTCTTAGCATCTTTGTAGCTATCATCTGAACTCTTTTCAGCTGTCGGCAATCTTCCTCGAACCAGAGTCTCCAGGCCTGGGCGGCATACTCTAGGCGAGACCGAACGAATGCGCTGCAGGTTTTTCCGAACAGCTCATTATCAGTTTGCGCAGATCCTCGCCTCAGCGCAAATAACACCCGTATCGCACGTTTGGCTGTTCTCTGACACTGCCACAATGGTTTAGGGGAGGGAGACATTAGGACGCCAAGGCCTTTCTGTTCCTCAACATGTGAAGGGGGCTGTCCATGAAGGAGCTATCGAACGGAATCATCCATCTTACTGATCTCTCCAATGCGAAGTCTCAAAACCACGCATTTGTCCATATTAAAATTTAGGCTCCAAAGAGCTGAGCAACATTAAAGTCCGTTGAGACTCTCTTGAAGCGCGTGCCTGTTTACATAAAATCCCATGGCTCTCCGCAGTTTTCACACCGTCAACAAACATGACGGCGTTGCGTGCCAGGTCGTCGACACAGCCGTTAATGCAAATCAGAAATAGCAACGGCCCTAAGACAGAGCCCTAAGGGACACCACCTAGACCGGCGTTAGTTAACTTAGAGGTATCCACACACACGGTTTGTGATTCCCCTGTCGGAACATCTGCAATCCGAGTCGGCAGCTTTCTTCCTACTCCAATTACAGACAGTTTATAGGCTAGGCGTTTTTGTGGAACACCGTCGGACTCCTTCTGGGAATCTGCGTAGATGACCCCGACCCTACCGTTCTAATTAATTGAGCGAGTTCACCGCTCGTTCGTGAGCAATAAAGTGGAAAGGCATGCGCTGTTATGCCTAAAGCAGGGCTGTAAATAAATAAATAAGTACTTTTTATTCAAGACCAGTGGGAGTGCGGTCTGAGCAAATAAAAAATAAATTATTACATGAACCTTAGAACAGGTACATAGAATCTATACAATACTTGATCCATATATATCGAATAAGTGGTCTTTTACAAAGAATGATGAACAAGCAGTGAAAAAATTCCTCACAAATAAACAAAATGAATATGACTGGATTAACATTCTAGGGGAAAAGACTGTTGCTTACGAAGGGATGAAAAGCGAGCAGGACTAGCCTGCATAGGGCAGTGCATAACAGAT